CAGCCAGCCACTGCAGGTGGCAGCTTGCATGTCTCTGACCTTGAGTCTACGGGGCCAGATGTGGACTAAGGATGGGGACCCAGGTGGAAGACCCTGCAGGCCCTCCAGGGGCTAAGGAAGAGGCTTTTGCCTGCTAGAGCCAGCAGGTCCCTTGGTTAAGAGTAAAATAAAAACCTTTCTGGTTGTGGGTGTGGGGGAGAAAAATGTAGTATTTCATCCAAAGTATAATGAGTTTTATGAAATGAAATTTTTTATACCTTTGGACAGAATGAACATTACTACAGGCTCTTAGAGTACACTGTTGCATAGATGAATGTCTAAAAAGAATAAGGAATGTGAATGTTTGATTCTGACATTGGGCGGCTGCCCAGCCACCCACCTTAGCGAGAACTCTGACTACAAGTGTCACCTTAACGACTGGCTCACTCACCTCAACAACAACAAAGCAGGTCTTGGTCCTGCTGAACTGGTGCAAACTGGCGGAGTGCCACCGCTGCTTGTGGCTGAATGCACATCTGCACGGTAATCATTGCCAGGCAGGTGGGCTCCTGGGCCCAGGTGAGGAAGGCTGGTTCTAGGATGGCTAGGAAACCGAGTGAAGAGGTGGGCAGCAAGTACGTCCTGCAGTTTGGCCGTTTCTAAATGTCTCCCTTTGAAGACCACCGGTGCCCTGGTATTGCAGACTGAAACACAGCCCCGCCCTGTACCCGCCTGTCGATTACAGAGATGCTGGAGCCCATTGTTGCCGCCTCTGCGCCCATCGTCTCCTCTTTCTCAGTGACTTTAAAAGCAGGACTGGCCCCTCTTGACAACATATCCTAAGTATATGAGACGAATCGTCTAAGGCGCATGCTGGCTGTACTTCTGAGACACGAGTTTGCGCTGCAGGTACTGTAAATGTCCTTTGCCGGAAGCAAAATTCAAACGCATCAGTTCTTCTCCGTCTTCTATATTCATCGCCCAGGTCCCACAGGCACATGGGGTGATTGAAAACCCCGCGACTTGGGTCAGGCACCGAGAATCTAAGGGTGAGGCTGGCCCTGATCACACCGGCTCCAATGTGTCCAGCCCACTGAGGTTCCCAGAGGGAAAGCTGTGGCCCAAAGGGGACTAGAACCCGGAGGCTGGGCGGGATAAGTGTGAAATGAAGCTGCCGGTGCCGCCCACACCCTAATGCAAACTCTGCCATCCCGACTCATCGCGAACCCAGAGGGCGAGGTAGAACCGCCCCTGTGGGTTTTCAGAGACGAACTCTACAGAAGTAGAAAGCTGCATCTTCTCCCTGCTGCCTCTCAGACCCCAGTTAACCCTCCCCCTGCAGGCCCGCCCACAGTTTCCTTGGAGATCAGCGCCCCGCTGGTCCCAGTTAAAGATTCCACTCTGGGGCCAGTGGTTTACCGCTGTGCGCTTGTGCGCTCTCCTCGAGGAAACGATCCCCCGTCCCACCTCCAGGAGGCGACGGAGGCAAAGCCAAGCGGCTTCATCTGCAAGCTACTCAGCCTGCTTCCCATTTCCAGGTGGGAGACCGGAGGCTGCAGTGACCCTGCCCCGTGGTCACACCGCTGTGGAGGGACTGTAACCCAGAGCCTTTCCCTTCTATGGTTTGCTGCCTCCCTCGGGGGATACTTGGGACCCACCTGGACAGGTTGACAGGTACACTCGGGAGGGAACCTGGGAGACCAGATTGCCGCCCATCAGGTCCTCGCTGGACAATCAGATGCACACAAGGGGGCCCCAAGTATTAAAATACAATTAAATATTAAATACAGTGTTCTCAAAACCGTCTTGGAAGGTTTTTCCCCCTCTTGTGTTATTTTTTAAATGGTGAAATGGGTGACGGTTTGAATAGCAGATCACCAAGCTTCCATTTGACCATTCGGATGTTTTGCGTCCACTCATCCATGCAACCCCCTCGCTGTCTCCTCCCTTATACCACTTCCTCCCGTGCCTCCTCCTCCCCTAACCTTCTGAACTTGGCCCTCGGCTAACTGCCGCAGGGCCCTAGTCTTGGGGGGTCCCACTGGCCTCTCTCCAACCAGGAAGCCTGGTCTCTTTTATGATTTTGAGTTTAGCTCTACATTTTTCTCTCACTCTATCCAGGACCTTCTAACGTGATTTTTCCAGAACCGTTGGTCATGGTAGTCGGGCACCTTCTAGAGCAGTGGTGCTCAACCTTCCTCAGACCGACACCCTTTCAGACAGTTCCTCATGTGGTGGTGACCCCCAACCATAAC